AGCATCAACCGCGGGGTAAGTACTCGTAACTCACTTAGGGACACCGTAGGACACATGGCTTTTGTTTCTCAAATTGAACCTACAACCATTTCCGAAGCAATAAACGATGAACATTGGACCTTGGCTATGCAAGAGGAACTAAACCAATTCAAACGAAATGACGTTTGGGAATTGGTGCCAAGACCCGATGATCGTACGGTTATTGGTACGAAATGGGTGTTCCGTAACAAACTTGATGAAAATGGAATAATCACTAGAAACAAAGCTAGGCTCGTAGCTAAAGGCTACACTCAAGAAGAAGGCATTGACTTCGAAGAAACTTATGCACCCGTAGCACGTTTAGAAGCTATTTGTTTACTTCTTGCTTTTGCTTCGTCTATGGATTTTAAACTTTATCAAATGGATGTTAAGAGTGCCTTCCTCAATGGTTTTATTCAAGAGGAATTGTATGTTGACCAGCCCCCGGGGTTTGAGGACTTTGAGTTTCCCGATTACGTCTTCAAACTCAAGAAAGCGCTCTACGGTCTTAAACAAGCACCGCATGCTTGGTACGAATGTTTGAGCAAATTTCTTTTGGATAGTGGTTTCCAAAGGGGAAAGGTAGACACCACACTTTTTATAAAGAGTAAAAACAATAACATCCTTTTGGTTCAAGTTTATGTAGACGAAGATCCGGGTTCACGGGTGACTCTAATTAGGCGAAGATTAGGATTGGTTTATGAAAGTCTTCTCGGAACGATTATATAAGGAGCAGAGTAAAAATAATAAATTAAGTTTACATAGTATAAGTATAGATCTGGACCTAGGGTCTAGACATCATTCGGATCTATTTTATCATATTAAATTAACAGTTGGAATAATAATATTTCTATTACTACTCATCCATTTCTAGATTTGTAATTAATCCATTGTAGTTGAATATCATAACCTTTTGGCATACAATATCTTCTCAATAAATAGTTAATTAAATCTTTCGAGATGAATTAACTAAATAAAGCAAGAACAATAGATTAACCATTCCAACATTAATTTAACATAAAAATAAACAACCAAACTAGTCCGGACCCAGAGATCCGGACCCTAACTCATACTATGCAAACATAAATTAAAACAGCATTTTATTAAATAAGGAAACTTACAACTTCCATAAAAGCGGAACAGAACAGATCGAGAGTCAAATCCTTCGGAAAATACTTAAAAATAATAACTAAACTAATATACAATGAAATATTGAGCAAATTGAAGGAGAAACCCGAAATGGGGTTGAGATTGGTGTGGAATGAGTGAGGATGCCGCTGTATTTAGAGGACGCCCGTGGTGGTTGGACGCCCAACCAAGTGGTTTTCAACTTCTTATGATTGGTTTTCACTCTTTGGCATGTTTAAACGGTTCTCCAACAAAAACACTTTCAAAACCATCTTTCGCCTTTGGTCGTTTGACAAAAACCATGCAAAACGGCGTAAACTTGGCTAGCCGTGGTTTTTACTCAAATGACGTTGTTTTTAAAGTAACTCACTTGATTTCTTAGCCAAATACATCAAATAAGTGTTTTTAACACTTGGTTTTCATTTTAGAGAACTTTGGATTTTTTGGTCGGTTTTTGCATCGGTTGGTCAGGTCGTGGTTAAGGCAAAGACCATGGGTTTTGGCTAACCACCCACCCAGTGATGGGAAGATCTTCCCATCGATGGGTAAGCAATCCCTCAGCCAAACCAATTTCCAGAACCATGCCAAACAGCGATGGGAAGTTCTACCCATCGCTGTTAAAGCCTTGGTGCAAAATTAACTCAAGGCAGAACAACCTTGCCCAGCGATGGGAAACCTATCCCATCGATGGGAAAGCATGACCGTTGGAAGTCATTTAAGGTTGATTCTTTCCTTGTTTGGAAGTCAACCTCCCACCTAGCGATGAGAAGCTTGTACCCATCGATGGGTAGGTAACCGTTGGCTTCAAAACTGAAGGAAAATTGGCTTACCAGCGATGGGTAAGTTCCAAACATCGATGGGAAGCCAATATCCTGCAGATCCCAAATCTTTTCAATCCCATAAATCAAGCCAATCACCCCTTTAATGCATTGGTCTGTTGGAGCCTATTTTGGCACTATAAAAAGGGGTGTTTGGGTCTGCTTTTCTCACCAATTCACTTCACAATATTCATACTTTCATTGCATTCAAATAACATCATTTTCCATAGCTTTCTAGAGCCAAATTGTGTGAAGGTTGAGTTGTTCTTGAGCGTACTTAGTTTAATCATTATCTACTCTATAAGAGAGGCTTGTTCTTGAGTGTATTTGTGTTCTTAGACACGTTGAGAGAAAGTATTTCTCTCGGTTGATTCAAAGGAAGGGCTGTTTCCTTTGAAGGATTCGTTGAGGTTCGTGTGACTCGAACTCTCAAGTTGTAAGGGTTTGTTAAGCACCGTTAAGCTTAATGAGATATTAGTGTAGCTCGAGAGAGTCTCTCGGAACGCTGGATTAGCCACAAGTTGTGGTGAACCACGGTAAAATTCGGTGTGCCTCTTACTCTTCTCTTTACTTCTCTTTTAATTTTTTAATTCCTGCGATTTCTACGATCAAGCGCTATTCACCCCCCCTCTAGCGTTGGTCTATTATTCTAGCAATTGGTATCAGAGCCTAACTTGCGTCCAAACTTAACCGTTTGAGAGTAAAGCGATCATGGGTTCTTCTTCTAGAAATCTTTATGCAGGAAACGGAGAAGGTCAATCAACCTCTAGGCCACCGCTGTTTGATGGCACCAACTACACATATTGGAAAGAGCGGATGAGAATCTATATCCGCTCAACCAACTTCCAGTTGTGGTTGGTCATCAAAAATGGCGAAGAAACGCCAATGAAGAAGGTCAGTGAAAAACTCGTCCCAAAGACCGAGGACGAATTTGATGCCGAGGACATTAAAAAGGTGGAGAACTACGCCAAGGCAATCAACATGCTATACTACGCGGTCAACCCAGATGATTATCGCAAGATCTCTTGCTGCACCACTGCCAAAGAAATGTGGGACAAGCTGGAGGTCACATATGAAAGTACGGACCAAGTTCGGGAAGCCAAAATTGACTTCCTAACACAAGAGTACGAGATGTTCAGAATGAAGGAAGGCGAAAAGATCGATGACATGTTCGATCGGTTCTCAAAGATCATCAACGACCTTCACGCTCTCAAGAAGACGTACACCAACAAGGATCTCGTGAGGAAAATCCTGCGGAGTCTCACACCTGATTGAAGATCAAAGGCTGACGCAATCTACGAATCCATCGGAGTCTCAAATATCACCATCGACGGGCTGAGAGGTAACCTCAAAACTTATGAATCTACTATTCTAACCATGTCTTTGGATGAACAAAAGAAGAAGGGAATAGCACTGAAAGTAACCAAGGAGATCGTGGAAGAAGACTCAAGCGATGATGACAACGAGTTCGGACTCGTCATCAAGAAATTCCACAAATTTATGAAGAAGGAATTTGTGCGCAAAGGAAGAAAGCACGACGGTCCCCCGAAGTGCTATGGCTGTGGCGAGATAGGCCACATCAAGCTAAGGTGTCCAAAAGGTAAAAGCGGCAAGGACAAACCTGGCTTCAAAAAACAACGTGCCTATATCTCATGGGGTGGTGACTCCGTCGACGAGTCAACTGATCAAGAAGAGGAGGAATCCGCCAACCTCTGTCTCATGGCGCACGAAGACCACGCCGACGAAATGCAAGAGGTATGTACCCCTTCTTCCGACTCTTACACTTTTGAAGAGATGCAAGAAGCTCTTCGAGAGCTTTATGATGAATTTGTTAGCGCTTCTAAAACCAACAAATCATTAAAGAAACGTCTTTCAACTCTTGAAAATGATTTTGAAAAACTGGAAAAAGATAATGAAAAGTTGAAACAAAAAAATAAATTTTATGGTAAAAGAAGCGCTGACAAACTGGAAAGCTCTTCAAGTGAATGTGAATCTTGCAAAACTTTAAAAGAAAAGGTTACAAAACTTGAGAGTACGGTTAAGAAGTTTAATACACCACACAAAGATATTAATTTACTCCTAAATACTATGCATTTTTCTAAGGAAGGATTAGGTTTTGATAAAAATTAATCTAAGGATAAAAACGTTGAGCAAACACCTAGACAACCTCCTAAGGCTCAACATAAGAAAGTTAAAAATCAGGATAATAGAAAGTCTAGTCAACCTAGGGACACTAGACAACATAGACAAAAACCTAGGAATGAAAATGTGCATGCTAGACAACCTAAGAAAAATTATCAAAATGATTTTGTGCATAAAATAATTTTTCAAATAGACAAAATAATTCTAGGACACCTAAAAGGGAAAATTTTCAAAACCCAATATTTTCTCAAAACAGGATGAATATGGTTAGGCCCCCTAGCAACTACTATCAACCTAGGAGGTGTTGGAATGCATGAGTTCAACCCTTTCTGTGTTGTTAAGTGTTGACTCAAGGGTTTTGATAATTGACAAACACAATTTATTCAAGTCAAGATCAAAGTGCTACAACGACAAACACGAAGACTTGAAGTGCCATTCCTTGAAGTATTCAAGAAGGTGCACAGGATTTTATTGGAGTCCGAGACGCGTTCGGAGCGCCTAACGGTGGACTCGGAGGAGTAGAAGATTTCCGAAGACTTTTTATTTATTTGAGTCGTAGGAATATTTGTAAGGATGAAAAAAATATCTTCTCTCCAAAATTATTTTTATGAGAGTTAAAATAAAAATTATATTTATTTTTGGAGTCAGTTGAAAAATCTTTTTAACTGTTCAAAATAGTTTTATTGAGTCAGTCACAAAAGGTGTGCCAAACATTTATCAAATATTTATTTTGATAAAATAAAATATTTTTGGTAAGCAAAAATATTTTATTCAAATATTTTTCGTGTACATCGTTTGACACACAAAATATTTTTGGGACTCAATTTCTACACCAAAATTCTTTA